ACATGGCCATCAGCCTCCGTAGCTGACTCCGAACTCTCTCTTCTAAGTTATACTTGCATTCGAAATGATCGTCAAGACAGCCGTGATGGGGACAGTTGCGTCCACGTTAAGCCAACACCTACATTTCCGACGCTGGACATCCCGCATTTTTCCGCCGTAGAAGGCAGCTGATGACTTCATGTTTCATTTAAAAATAGGTTCTCCTTTCTTGCTGGCGGCGTCTATTGCCCTCCCAATGTCAACGACAATTTTGATCGTTTACTCTCACAGGAATTTCATGCTGCGGCCGAATTCAGCTTTATGTATCAATTGGTTGCGGGTGACTTTAATCTTCCTAAAGTCCGCTGGTCTCCACTTTCAGGCCCCAAAAGTTTCGAAGACTTTCTTGAGGCTGTGGATGTTGGGATGTGGACACATGTTGTCAATTTTCCCACCCGAGAATCAAGCAAGCTTGACCTTATTTTCTGCAGAGGCTGCATGCCTTCGTCAGTGTATACCTAGGCACACTCGGGGGCTCAGACCATGACATAGTCCTTTCAACATTGCAGCTTGAGGATGACAAAACTTTGTCCCTAAATTATAGCTTTTTCCATGATTTCCGATCAACTCGCTCGACCGAATTATTAACACATCTTAGTTCCTACTACTGGACTGATTTCTTTGGTAGTTAGGATGAAAATGTTTGCACTGCAAACTTGTACGAAATTTTGGATCCGCTTATTTCTCGTTTTGTCCCCCGTAAGAAAATTATTAATGTTGGGGATCAGGTTTTCCTATCCCCACCCTTTCATCACAGGTTGCGCAGACTTCCTCGTCGATTCCATCTTCATAACGACGTTTCTGTACTGCCCTTGATTTGTGATAATTTTGAGCGGGCTAAGAGATGAAAAGCAGCCAGCGTATGTGGTCCAATTCACTGAAAACCGTTCGTTAAATGTCTCGAAACTTTTCTCCTGAAAAGTACGGACTAATAGAAAGACGCAGCATCCCATCCTCCGAGACGCTCTCGGAAATCATATCGTTGATGTCCAGTTAATCGTTGATATCTTCAATGCTTCCCTGTCCAAAACGTTTATTGAAGACTCGACCACTCCGCTTCCGACCATCCAGGCACTGACTGGGGCAGTCCTAGAAACTATAACTTTCACTCTGTGGGATGTTACTGTTGCGATTCGGCGTTTTCTTCAATCTTATAGTCCAGGAACTGATGGTGTCCCACTAAGCATTTTAAAAGACGACGGAAATACGATTTTCCCATCTCTCTTATGCAAGGTATTTAATTTCGCTCTTGAAAGTGAAACCTACCCTACCTTGTAGAAGGAATCACACATTTTGCCCATTCCTAAGCACGGAAAATCTACGTCATTTGATGACTTTCGGCCAATGAACACCCTCCCCGCAGTTTCGAAGATCTTAGAGACATTGATCAAAGATAAGATAATGTGCCAATTAACAGAGAATAATCTACTGCGTGCCGCTCAGCATGGATTCCTCAAAGCTCGGTCTTTTGACACCTGTCAGCTCTCTTCCTTTGACTACGTTTTCCAATCTAGGGACAATGGTTTTTCACTTTACACAGTATATTTCGGTCTCCCTAAGGCTTTTGATCTTGTTTACCATGCTCTTCTTCTTCTTTTCATGAAACTGTCCTCCTTGGGAATACGTAAAAACTTTTGAATTTTATATCCTCCTACGCGGACACTCGTACAAAACAAGTTAAGATTTCCACTGATAACTACAACCCATGTGTGAGGAGTGGAGTCATTCAGCGTAGTGTACTCGGCCGGCCTATATTTTGCCCTTTTGTTAAAGATGTATCCGATGTATTTCAGAATGGTATGCCGATGATCTGAAAGTTGCTTATCGATATAAGTCGGCAGATCGTGACATCGTGCTTGAACTCCTAAGAACGCCCTACAGGCCTTTGCCCAGTGGTTTCGCACACGGCGCCTTTCTCTTTCTTGGCATAAATGCTCAGACCTGGTAGTTGGCGACGACCGCCAAACTCTACTAAGCATTGATGGTCACGCCATAAATTTGCCTGGGATTATTAAGGATCTGGATTAGCATACTGCAAGAGCCTCAGTCTTTCAGAGCACTGGGCCTTGATAGTCTCCAAAGCACGTGGAACGACCGGATTTATCCTCCGAAACTTTAAGACTAGTGACATTAGAATGCGCACTTATAACCTGTACGTTAGACTTGTCCTGGAATACTGTCCGTTTTTCTTTGGCATCGTGCGTGCTACTGAGTGGAAGAAAATAGAATCCGTTCAGACTTGTTCATCAAGAGAGTTTCAACCCTGGAACACCGACATTTGTCTTACCAAGAACGCTGCTGGCTTACAGGCCTTGATCATTTATGGTTTCGTAGATTACAAAAGGGGTTATTTTTGCTATTTAAGCTTTTATATAATCGCACCTTTAACCCACTCCCTACTTTAAGATATAATGTTCACCCCCGACGTAACAGTCACCGTGAGGTCTGTTTATTTCTTCCTCTGGTATATGCTGTTAAATATCGTCTGTTCTTTTTTGTATATGCAATTGCAATTTGGAATAAACAACCCAGGAGTGTGAAAACTCTGCAAATTATTCTTTATTTAAGAGGACTATTACTCGATTTTTGCATTCAGAAAAGCTCCTACAAATTGTGGGTGCTGAATCCACTGATCGACTGTACCGTAGCGATGGCGTTTGTGGCCTCTGAACACTATGGCCGGTCTCACCAGGGACAATTTCTTTGGCCATCAGCGACAGCTGTTCTTCGGCGTCCCTATTTCGACTATTCCCAACTTCATGAAAGGCATTGGCGACTGATAATATCGAATACCGTGCAACCCCTCCCTTCTTGACGGTCGACAGTTTGCGGTCAGCAGTTTTTTTCTCCTGTACCACCCAAACCATAAAAACCACCGTTAACTTTATTTTGATCCCTTTTCGACAGGAGTTATTTTCACTGCTGACCGAATTTGCGTTTGACGCTTCCCTAACAGTGCCTGTAAACTGGGATCAAATTAAAATTATTATTATAAGTGTATAAAGAGACACTTTATTCCATATCTGGAGCAGAAGAATCTCTAATCTACTCTTCGGCACGGCTTTCGTCTGTGTCCCTCATGTCTTACGATGGATTTTTACTCGCAGGACAAATGGACAAAAGTCATAGTTGACCGCTACCCGATTGATGTCATTCCGCTTGACTTCATGTAGGCATTTGGGATAGTGCTCCACCGGCTACTCCTGGAAAATATGTTTATGTATCTATGTGTATATGTATATATTTGAAGGGTTAGAGGCATAGCCCTTGATAATCCTACTTATGTGCAATGCTTTCGCAGATTGGTACTCATGAATAAAATTGCAGCCATTTGCAATGTCATTGGGTTACAGCTCAATCGCAATCATAAGTTAGTGCATAAGGTCACTGTAAATTAGTGTGGAAGGATTGTATATGACAGATTTTACAAAAGTGGTTGTGCATAATCATGCTTTACAAGCCGATTTCTGTCGAAAACTAGACGAGCAAGATTTCATTTAAACAAACAAATTGTATCGGCCGTCCCCATCCCGCTTGGAAGCGAGTTCCACGGTCTGACAACCCGCTGGCTGAATGAAAATTTTCGTCGGTCTAAACGCGTGCGCTCATTCTCGACTTTGTATGCATGGCCGCGTAGTTGGTTTGTACGGGCGAACTCAAAGAAGTCCTCTGCTCTTAATGACCGACCCTGGCCGTGGACAATCCGGAACGTCCAAAGTAGACTGCAGTTTATTTGTCTATAAGAGAGTGGGAATAAGCCAAGCAAATTTAGTCTCTCCTGATAAGACAAATGCTTTAGCGCGTCGGCCATCTTTGTCGCTCTGCGTTACACCTGTTCGAGTAATCGATTTCCCTCCTCATCCGTGGTGAAGCTGCTGGCATTCCAAACTCTAGATGAGGTCTTACAAAGACACCAATAAGTCTTTCGAAGAGTTCGGGAGGAAATTATTTAAATGCACGTCTGATCCAGTGTAGTGTACTAGTTGCCTTGTGGACCATCTTTCTACAGTATTCTGATGACGATAGATTTGTGGTCGTCCATACACCCAGATCTCTGTGTCTTTCCACAGTTCCTAACCTCGTCCCGTCAATATAGTACTGGTGTTTGGGAGACGCATTGCGGCCGGAATTCAGGTGCAAGAGCACGCATTTGGATACGTTGAAATTCAAAAGGCATCTGTTCGACAAAGCACACAGTTTGTCGATGTTCGACTGCAACTTCTCTGCATCATCATCGCACTTGACTTCACTCCATATTTTTATGTCATCCGCGAACATGAGGGCGTCGCAATTCACTTCACTGAGGCAGTCATTAACATAAGTCAGGAAGAGCACTGGGCCTAAGACAGGACTCCGTGGGACACCACTTCCCACCTTTGTCCATTTCGAAGCAGAGTGACCAACGACGGTTCTTTGTACTCTGGAGGAGCCAAAACTCCTGATCCATTTAAACATTCTTCCCTGAATTCCTACATCCCAGATCTTCTGTAAAAGAAACCTGTGTGGGACACTGTTAAAGGCCTTCTTGAAGTCAAAAAAATATGACATCCACTGGAAAACCCTTATCGGTAACTCGTGTTCATTTCTCGTGCGAGTAAGGAACACTCGTTAGGCAGGAGCGCCCTCGACGAAAGCCATGTTGGGCATCACACAATATTTTGTTCTGTTCCAGGTATGTCATCAAGTGCCTTTTGATATTGCGTTCCATTATTTTACACGCGATGCAAGTAAGACTGACAGGAGGATAATTTCCGCAGTCAAGTCTTGAGCCTCCTTTATGGGTCGGAGTAATGAGTGCGCTTTTCCACTCTTCCGGTAGCTCGCCGTCTTCAAATGACTTCTGAAATATTGGGGATAAGGGCTTGCACATTTCATTAGCAAGTTTACGAAGTGCTACTGCGGGAATTCTATCTGGACAAGGCGATTTGACAGGTTTCAGCCGAGGTAGTTCGACCCTAACTATGGTCAATGCAAGGAGCGGTTCTTCGATTAAGGAGGGTAGGGAGGGGGTAAGAGAGAAAAGGGGGGTAGTAGTAGGTGTTGGCTAGTGAGCGGATAGATGGGCAAATATAGATCTACGTTCTCGGGTGAAAATGGACAGAGAAGATTTAAAAAGGAGGGAGGCTTTAACCTGGTCATCAGTTTCCACTTTTCTATCTGCAGACCTAATTACAGCGATCAGCTCCTGAGTCCTTTTAAAACTTCGTATATAACCATATAGAATTTTCGGATGCTCCAACGAATTTCGGAGTATGTTCAGTTCAAACTTCTTTCGCAGCTTTGTGGCCTCATTTTTACAAACGTTTCGTTGTCGCTTATATTCCTTTAAGTGTTCTTCGGAGCCAGTTAATCTGTAACGTCTCCACAGACTATTCCTTTTTCTGAAAAAGGCCTTTAAGTCCAGTTTTATTCATTTTAGGGGGTTTGTGATTGTCTTTCTTCTGAAAGGACCATCGGAATAAACAATCTCTTTCAGAAAGGAACTGAAAGTATTCCAGTTGTCGTTTGCTCGACCATGCAGTTCAGCGTTCCATGATACAGCTGCCGCTTCCCTCCTTATGATAGAAAAATCCCCTTTCCAAATGTTTCCCTTCCATCTATCGGGTTAAACGGGTTTGAAAACAGTGAATACTCGAAGTAAAGCGTGATGTGGTCGGTTGACCCTAATGGTGGTCGGTCCTGCAGGCCTAACACATTCTCTTCCTCTGGGGTAAAAAGAAGATCAAGGCAGTTAAACTACTGCCCTTCCTTGGCCCGTGTTTCAAAGGTAACTTTCTGGCAACGAATTTTGCCCGTTGCCCATTGCAGTAGTTTGTGCTTAAAGCTGTCTTGCGGCCCTCGTGCAGTCTACGTTAACCAATCAATGCAAGGAGCGTTAAAATCGCCAAAGATAAGGGCATCTTTCTTCTCACCGACTTTGTTAAATTCAGTTACGAGCATGAGATCTTGGTCAGAAGTATGACTAGGTGAACGGTACACCACCGAAAGCGTTAGTGATCGGACATTCTTAGTAGATATTGTAACGCTTCGCAGTTCCACACCCCGTACCTGTCTATGCACATCAGTCATGGCGCTCAGCATGCAAGTGACATAAATTATGACTCATCCTCGGCTTAGTCTGTCTCTCCTGAATTGCTGATATCCTCTTAGTGATATTTCTGAATCTGCGATATCTTCAGTAAGCCACGGTTCTGTGAATGCCATGATGTCTGGCCTAATTTCATCAACTAAGTCTCTTAGTTCGTCTAATTTGCTGAAGAGGCTTTGCACATTTGCGAAGATAACTTGCAATGACTGATTCGTTGGATAGGCCTGGCCATCACCAATAGTGTGAAATTCAGGCAAAATTTTAAGTGGATAAGAGTCTCATCCCTCACGCTCTTGGAAATCCTGTAGCAGACGCCCAGTTTCAATGACTTCCTGTCCGAAACGTTTTTAAAATCTTGCCCGCCTGCTTCCGACCATCCAGACTTGGACCGGATCTGATCTCGGAACCATTGGTTTCACTCCGTGGGAGGTGACTATAGCGATTCGGTGTTTTCGTAAATCCCACAGTCCGGGAAATTATGGTGCCCTAGATAGCATTTTGGAAGCGAATGCAAATGAAGTTTTCCAATCAATCTGATGCGAGATATTTAATCTAGCTCGTGAAAGTGAAACCTATCCCACTTTGTGGACGGAATCACACATTTTCCCCATCCTCAAACACGGTCACTCCACCGTAGTGATGGCCTTCGTGGTCTCTGATCCCTATGGCCTATTTCGCGCAGGACAATTTCTTAAGCCAACAGCGACAGCTGTTCTTCAGTGCTTCTGTTTTGTCCAGTCCCAATTTCGTGAAAAAATGGCGACCGATAATATCCGACGCTGTGTTACCCATCTCGTTCTCGAGTGTCTTCCTTTCATGGGCAGCAATGTTTTTTCTCCTGAACCTTCCAAACTTTACATAAACGCCATCATCTTTATTTGATTATAAGTTTTTCACTGCTGGCCGGATTTGTGCTTTATATTTCCATGACAATGCCTGAAAACTTGCATTAAGTCCAATAATCATTATTGTTATCATTATTAACATTCAGGACCGTAAGCACCGTCCCTTGAACTGAGCAGAGTTATTATAGTAATTTGAGACTTTTGGAGTGTGGATTCAGGATGAAGATGGTATGACCGCGAAAAAAACCGCTCTTCTATCCTTGCATCCCCGCCGACCACTTTCCCCCAGCTACCGTAATTACCGCACTGTATCTCTCTCTACATCGGTATTTCGCACGGTCCCACCTCGCGGTTGCCGACAGCGCTGCATTCCCGCCGGATGTCAAACTGGTATGTTGGTATCATCCCTTCATGCAGACGGATCCTTACTTCTGCCCTGATTTTTATCCCCCTTGCATCTATTAACATTTTCCTGCGTATCTATCCCGCTGCTCTTAGTATACGCACTTCGTATCGCTTGAATTCTTTCAACTGCCCGCTTGAATGAGATCGATAACTCGTTTAACGACTCGCCCCAGATCAGATAATCCAGGAATTATACCAAATGCTCCACGTTACCTAACGTGCGCTGCCCTCAACGTCTTGGGCCGCTACACGTACTCGAAAAGGCCAGGAAGGAATTTCTGCTTAAAAAGCCAATTTTAAAGGGATTATTATAATCTTTCTTATCCTACCGACCACTATTCATATTAGCTTTAAAAGAATCTAATTATTTGTTTTTACTAGCACTGTGAAAGGAACTCGTGTGCAATTAGTACGTAGCAGAAAATATCTCTTGGGATTTCTACAGTAAATTGGCCAGTTCAGGAGATAAACAGTACACGCGAGTTACCTAGTGGCAAAGCCCTTGGAAATTATTTTTGTATTTAGCCAAACTTATATGCGTGAATAGCAACAGGCAACACGCAATCATGGTTGGTTTCCACATTGCACAAAAACACGTAAGATTATTCCTTGAATTAGGACATGCTCCAAAAGATGTAATGAATTTTGTATTAATGAGAGCGAATGGACAATCAAAAATTATGAGATAAATTGGATTCGTCAAATAAAAGACAATCAATGGCATTGAAGTTGTTGTTTTAAGTAATAATAAAATGCCGCGGTAAAAGACATGAATTTCTGGGCTATCTGATTGCGCGCATACACTTAGCGGGTGTGCACATCTACGATAGTTTCCCCAAGATACTATCCAGGTAATATAAATGATCATAACCCATGTCTGCTTTTAAAATTCTGCACTGATTCCCTGGCTTTAAAGCGTCAGCATACAATAAAGTCGTTGTTCTAATACCATTGCACTTTTTAGAAGATAGTGACGATCCCCGAGCCTGTCTGGTACGTTCTTCAAATTTCCGTTAATCTAAAATCATGTTAAGTCGGTAATTTTCATATATCTAGCTTTGTCTCATGTAGTATACTTTGGAGACATTACTCCATTTTTCTAGTTATTTGAAGATAATGATGCATCCCTTATAAGCGATGGGGGAATAAAACCACAGCGATCACAGTACTGTTTATTTGAGATTAGAATACTGCGTGTATCCACGGGCTGTTTTGTTCGTATTCTTTATTTTGGGTTTTCTTTAATTTGGGACCACGAGCTTGACTAGTAATTAAGTAATTTTCCGCCTTATTAACCCGCGCCCATAGAAATTATTTACCAAGCGATTGCTGACGTGAACTTATCTTTGAGCTGTTACAGTTGGCAGAGCGTCCCTAGTAGCAAACGCATATATCCTCGATATCGAGTAGATAGTGGAATTTCAAAATACTCGAAAAACGGTGGTAGCAGAATGCTTGGCAATTTACACGACCCCTTTTCCCGCGGGACCGCTACTGTTTTATACTAAGTCGACCTATATTGTTTCTGTCGACCCGTCCCGTCATCCCAAACCCACTGCCGTAGTCTCAATGTGGACGACAAAGGTAGAAAGTCTGCAAAGCACCCACCCAAGCGTTTCCTCAGGATCCGAAGTTGTTGTAGTGTCTGATTCGAATTCTCGATTACTTATTTGACTCAGGCTCTATCCGCGCACATGCTAACTTCTAAGGTTGATGTTAATATGACTAACGAGAGCTAATATAAAGAAGGCGGTTGCTCCATTGTTTCCTGAGTTTTCAACGCCATCTACCAGAATTTAGCGTTTTTTCTGAAGCAGCTGAAATAATAAAATGGAGCATAGCAGCACAGCAGTTTTGGCATGCTCTTATTAAATAAAAAGCAAAAAAACGGATGTAAATTGCGCTTGCACGCATTCATTATAAAAGAACTTTAGGTGTATAAAATCCGAATAACACAAAGGACAAACATGTTTAGGCACTGTATCTCCTAAGATGACAGTTTTTATCTTGGCCTCACCGTAGTAGTGCTTAGTGTAAATTTATCTTACAGTGACTCCATCTGGTAGCTGTTATTCCAGTTTCCACGAAAATGTTATTTTTGCATAAATATTTGAGAATGTATGCGGATTTGTCCTATCGGCCTGAGTTCATTAAAATAATTGTGTGAACTTACATTCGCAATCCATGTCCTTTTTCTACGTTTTGTAAATACGGCCGATTTTTGGCTTTTCTATCTAACTTATTGGAGCACTTTTTGAGAAATGTTTTGTTTGATGCATTAGTGGTCAAAATTTTGAAACCGCAATCGAATCCTCCTTTTTATTGATTGTGCATCCAAACATGGCTGGAATGCATTGCACTTCGCCTGACACACTTTAGCAGTAGTCTTATACTTACTCATTTATCAGTTTAGACACCATATCGTACCATCTCGCAAACTGTGCGTTGAGCATTTAAGTGTTTCACTTTCTGCGTCTGGACCAATTTGCAGCGCTGACTTTTTGGACGGATTCAACAATCGTTAAGCTAATACCTGAAAAAAGGTTATTCCCTCTTCAACTTTAGGATACTTTTGTTTTTAGGTTCAGTATACGTTTTCATCAAGACTATACGATCAGTAATTTAGCAAGTCAGTGAAAATTATTAGTGCGCACTTTATCTTTAATAGCCCATTCGGAGTTCGAAGAAAATTTAGTAATATATTGCAGTTAAGGGTTTTTGCATTAGAAGAAGTCTGCCCACGCTCGTTGTCAACTCCATCTGACAAACTGCCTCTCATTTTTGTTCCTTTGGTGTGTTATAGAAACTGTTTTCCTTATCCTATGTTCTAACGCACGACTATCCCAAATATCGGTTTCTCACCATCTTTTCTTAAATGGGAAATAGTTACCGCTTAGCTAAAACATCTTTTCCTTATGAGCTTCTAGAAGAAAATCGTTTGTCTAGCCAATTGGTTCTAAGTGAGACAGTTAAGTTAGGTTTCTCTATAATTAAGTCGGAAGACAAATGCACCGGTGGTTATCCGTCAAATCAGTCTCTTAGTTTTGAAACACTATTTAAAAGTCCAAACGTACCTTTGCGCATTTCATGGGCAGTTCCAGATACTCGTAAATATTCAGGCAAATTTATGGATCTTTGTTGTCGACATCGATGCAAATTGGAGTTGCTTTGCAAGCGACAAGAAATAACTTACCATCAGTAAGGGCTCAGTGCTTCCAGGGGGATGGCCTGCGGCAGCGTTTACAATATCCACATTGCCTAACTTACATGAATGCATGACGGTCTAATCAGTCCTTAACTTGACTGCCCTGAAAGCCTGTGAGATAAACTCATAACGCTGTTCTACGTTTCCACATGGGCTCGAAAATATTTAGAATCAACTCCATCTTTGACGTCCTCCCCTAATCATTACTAGCCCCTCTTTCTCAAAAAAGGAATGAAACCTCTCTTTGTCGGCACAAGAATGAAGAGGTTGTGGTCTCTGTCTGTGTTTTGTCATCTATATAAAATGTGTGAACAGGGCAGTCTAGAACTATTTTGCGAATACTGCAGGTTTGTTTATGTTGATTGTTTTTGGTTGAAAGGCCTTGTGCTTGCTGAAGTCTGACTCATTTATTAAAACAAGATACGCGTATGAGGCAGGGGCACACGTATGTTATGTTGTCATAATACGCATAAGACTTACTTCTACGATCGGGCAGCGGAAGTACCTTAACTTTTTTGCTCTAACTTATGCATTTAGCAACGTCCTCACATTTCTACATCTAGCAGTTTAATTTACAGGCTTTCATATTCCTCAATTTTCAACAGTTTAATTCCAAGCTTTCCTTATTATGCAGACATAGCGTTGAGATAAAACTTTTGGTACATCTTATTTGCGTCGTATCATCACTCTCTTAAGTAAAGCTCACCGAAATGTCTGTGTTGTGGTGTCCTTCAAGCACAATTAAAGTCTTATCAGTCCATTTCAGTCTATGAGTACTATTAACACAAGCGATTCGTAGTCTCATAGGCCTATGAAACATATAACTTTAGAGGGTTACTTCCTCGAATCCCCTGGACAGCCAGTTCATTTGGGTGGACGGTAGAAATGGGGCTTAGCATAGTTTTCACAATTCAATCGCGGAAATCTTCCAAACCATTTGCTTTTAGTACGCAAATTTTTCGTGTAACCCGCCGAAAAACATAACTGGCTTGCTATTCTATGGAAATATTATTATTAAACACATGAAGAAATGCTCTTACAGCAATGGCTTGCGGCTACATACTTAAGAACCAGAATCAAAGGGGTACAGCTTTTCACCTTTTTGGCGCACCTTCATTTCATATCTTTGTGTGTGGCATGTAGTCTCCCAATGTTCTTCCTTCAAGAAAGAATGCTTTGATCGGCACAGGATTTGTGGTGATCACCGTAATTTTGCAAAAGGCATCTCTTTGACCGAGTAAATCGTCCGGTCTATCTATTTATATGAGGAGGCCAATCTTTCTGTTAAAATCAATAAATGCGTCGACGTATTGATCAACTACTTACCACGAAATGGCGTTCGTAGCTCGTAGGGGCTGACAAATGCTTGGCTATCAAACCGAAAGAAATTTTATTTGCGACGTGAATGCAGCTGCCTGTGTTTTGCTGTGCAAACGTACAAGTGACCGTTCTTTAGTATTAACTGTTTTTTCTCTCCATTGTCTGTCGATAGCGCCTACTCCGGCAGTTCGGCACTTTTTTCACATTTTTTTCACCGAAAGCACCTAAATGTTGCATATACTGCTAAGGGATAAGAAATTGACTCGAAAACTATGCATTTATTCTAAGATTTGTTCCCATAGATTCAACATGTGTCTTCAAGCCTTGGAGAATGCCAAGTGAATGCAGTTACCATCCAACTCGGCAACTGGTCTTTGATTCAAATGCTGCAAAGTTACGTTGAGGCGCTGACCGTAGCAAATAAATCTGGCTAGATTTCAAAGGATTCAGTAGGAGTTGGGAGTGTTGTGTTCGGCAAAAAAGACAAGAGTCTAGAACTTGGTACGTTCAATACTCCTGATCATTGTTAATTACCTCGCATATTTTCTAACGCAGGCGGGGTTATTCGGCTTGACCAGCACATCCTTAGGGACCTAACCTTATTTGAGTACTTGATGCTTAGTGGTGATATAGTTATTGCTGCATTAGTGGGACGTCATAACGGGCGTTCTGCCCCGACAACTTGGGCCTATTTCGTTTGACACCGGTGCTTGCGTGCTATTTAGCGCCAGTCAATGGTCTTCTTTTTACAACTGACCTCAAATCTCCCTTTATAAAAGCGAGAAGTCGAAAAGAAAGTTAGCAACTGCGTTTTGTCAGTTCTTACTTTTTGTTCCTTTACTAAATTCAGTTCAGAACCACTGAATGAGTTTTATACTCTACGGCACCACTTGTTCGATCATCGATCGTCTCATGAAATACTGGGTAGTAACTTGAGTAAGGGGCCTAAGAAGTCCCCACTCAGAAGCAGCTTGCCGTCTTTCTCATTAGGTCCACCGCACTCCCTGTCAAGCAAGTTACTCTGTGGTAATATTAGGCGTTCCCGTACTCATCCTCACGCCTTAGTCACTAAAAAACTGACAATTCCCAATCTACACAGCGACTAAGTTAGTCGCCTTTTCTGTTGTTCCTACGCTATTGTATGCCTTCCTACTTTTCAACGACCCTACTTTTGATATGGCTAAGCAGAGTATGCTGGAATACGGCCTGGCTGTCAGAGTCTGTTTAAGTCCCTGTTGCTGCTTAACTTTCGGTGGCATATCTACCCAACGGAATGATTGTCGCCACTCATGTACGAGCACTGTACGACAAGTTCATTGAAATTCATAATGCTCACTTAAGACGTTTACTAAAAATCGGGGTGGAACCGGACGAGTTGCGTCCCCGCTACCTTATTCCAGGTTCGTTCAATGATCGTAGAGCTCTTATACGCCCACTAGAAAAGCGTGCTTCACTCCTAACCTCGCTGCGCCTCTGCCCTGACCGCCTCTTTTTGTTTCTCGCGGGCGATGTATACGCCCGCTCCTCTGGCCATATGTCCCACGCAGCCCCCTAAACGCGCGCGCGTCCGTTAGGTGAGATGCTAACATGCCTGCGAGGTGATTGGTTGCGCTAGCTTTGTAAATCGAAGACTCAAGGAGCCGTTTCGTCTCGTCAACAGCATGCAACTTAGCTGGTAATCCAAGTTAGTGTTTCGCAAGCGACAACCGTCTAGCACATAGAAGAACGCCAAGAGCTTTCTTCTCGGACACCAAATCGTACTAATACAGAGCCTGCGCCCAGTGTTATCTAAATTAATTAACCTTGACTCTAACCACCTTTGCCCTTCTTTCTCGCCCCCAACCGCTTTCAAAATTTCCGAATCCGTGCTCGATAATTGACTTGGGCACACGTTTCGGTAGAACTTAACTCCCTTTGAGCTGAACTTAACGTGCTTGTTTATTTGGACAACGTCCTGAGACTGTGGAATCGCTGCTGCTCTCTTTGAAATCATGTTCGAAGGAATACGTTTCCTATAGTTACCTTGATAGCCGACTCGAGGAAGACTTGGCATACTCTTCGAACGAGTGAAAAGCCATCTGGAGGATATCCTACTAAGGCGTCGGTCACGTTCGCAGCAACGGTTGTTGTATGAAGCGAGCGGTTTGCAAGGGGACACTTTACAATGTAATATAGACGTATACAGGTTGGGACAACTGAGCAGGCTCCTCAGACGTGTCTGTCTGCCTTTTGATTCATTTTCCGAAGTCTCATAAGGAGCTTTCCGACTGTTTATAATCTGTGAACGATCACGCCTGTAAAGACGGCCATTCTTCCGGCCTGGAGGTAAGTTACTCATGGATATGTCATCGTGTGGTGGATGACAATCGTGGGGTGTGGCTGCCGTGCACTGTGTTTATAAACGTGAGCCAGACGCGATAGTAATAGTTCCCTTGTTTGAATTTACCAAGTCCCAGGCAAACATTTTCTTGAACATAAAAGAGCTTAAGCATGTCAACCTTTTGTATAATACATTTCTTCTAATAAACGAAGGTCGCAAAATGTCAAAGAAACGGAAGACTCAAAACGTTTACTATGTGATATTAAAAAAAACAGTCATTGAAGAGAAAACTCCGGAACCGGTACTGTCGAACCGGTTTGCTATGCCAAGTGCATGTACGAGTGCATGATGACCACTCAAATTATTTCGCCGCAGCGCTAGCACTAAGGACAAAACAACTCAGGGACAGTCACTTTTCTATAACGCCTGTTGTTTGCCAGCGTATTCTGGATTCATGAGCTTGTGAAAGACTCCTATGGAATGAGGACCACGGTCTCCTCTTTGTCATAAATGACAGTGGTTTGAAATGGTACTACAATTATTACCATTCTTAGCAGGAGGCGTGATGTTATTGTGGAGGCAAAGCTGTTTCTTCCTAAGTAGTTGCAAAATAAGGGGCTAATGGGTCTCTGTGTCCGACTACGCCAGCCTAATCCCTTTCAACAAAAAACTTGATAAAGCATTTGGATTTTGTTGTTTTATAATGCATCTGTTCGTTTTTCCAAAACATCCGAGGGCTTTTTTCACGAATTGTTAGTTAAGCATGAAAAGAATACGTCAGTTCTACCAAAGCGTCTTCCGTGATCCCCTAATTCATTGGATGCCAAGAGACTGCTGTTAACAATTCCCAGAGGATTGGTGAGATGTTAAACTGTATAATCTCTATCTCTTTGCGCCCCATCGTTAAGCAGCGAATGTGACTTGATTTCTAGTGGTCCATAAAAATGCGCCTCCTTCTGTTGAAAAATGAGTAACGGAGACTTTGGAGATATACAGTTGGGACAAAATCATTGCTACGTTATCCGCTTCCCTGTAATATTCTTTAAAGAAGTTCGATTTCGACAACTAAGTGAAGATTTATAAGAACAAAAAATTATTTTTAACTAATCTGCGCAGTTTCTTGGCTTCCCTCGAAACCCTTTTCGGGTAGAAAAGTTTCGTACCACTAAACTACTGGCTCGAATACGTTACAGGTCAGCAAATTCCCATTTGGACAGTTGAGGCATGAAGTAAGTCGGTCGCGCGACCTATCTGGTAATAATCTCTATGTCCTGACTTATGACTTTAGATCGTCTGCTAAATATGCGCCACCCACCTTGTCAGAGTCTACAACTTACCGTGGGTCTCTGAAGAAGTGCAAAGGTTCCACACCTTAATAATGTCCTTGTCTTGAGGGTGGTTCCTGACGTCGAGATCGAAAGTTCTTAGTTGTTTAAACCATAGCGCTGCGTATTTCGTCTTCTGAAGGAAGAGCCGATTCCAAGACCACCGACGCTCATTCAAGAAAAGGCTTCATCCGTAAATATAGTGTGGGATTCATCAAGCATTCATGAACTGGAATGCTGCGCTTTTTGGTCCTATTCTGAAAACTTCCTGATGAACTCATCACCGCTCGGGATCCGCGGCGTCACTCCCTCAGACTTTTGGTGTGTTTGCGTAGCCAATTTATTCCGCTGACGATTAAGAAAGGAGATATGAAAAAGAGGCACTGAAAGTTATGCGAAGTTCTGAATATACTTACAAAATGAACAAATTGATACGAATGTAAGCGTCTGCTATGCCAGGGTCAACAGATCATAACCGTCGCTGTCTGGTGCGCGCTGGCAGTTCCCTGACACCTGCTTCCCTGCCGTTAGATGCGCCTGCGCTCTCGCTGGGTATACGGGTCGTGAGCATGGCCATCCAATCATCGTCTTCCTGACTCGCTGTGGTGCTGTTATTGTTTAAAATCCAGTCATGTGTTTGTTGTGGACCAGAGGATGTGGGGGTACGCCTAGGTGCGGTTCCGGCCGTCCCGGCCACCCGCTCCTTCCTCCCGCCTCCGGTCTTCTTGTCTTTGTCTTGACACCGGGCTAAGATGGGGGAGGAGTAAAGGGTGCGGTAGATGCTGCGCAAGTCTACTCCCATTATATACTAATTCACGCGCAAGTCACCGTGCCTGTCCCACCTTGTGGCGGAACACACGCTTGACATCGTCGGGCACGACGGCTGAGCTATCGTACATGCATTAGATTGTCATACAACGTTGCCTTGTGACATTTCCAGGTACCAAAACTCCTTTGGCAAACAGGAATTAACTTTTCAACATATATTTTTCATTTTCTGCCACTGCAATGACCGAATTGAAACTTTATCGAAAAGTATTGTACGAAGGCACTGTACTGGAGCCCCGTGACTAAATAGAACGTCCGCAAGTCATCTTGCAGGCAGGCCGGTGAACTTCACTCAAACTGACTAAGTGCCGTCCTGTTGTACGATGAGTTATGTACGGAAGCTCAGTGATATGGGCAAACTCGGTGTTCTGAAACTTCTATCGTGCATGGTGTTCGACGCTCAGATTAATTTCTCCACCTCATCGGTAGATCATTCATATATGACTAACCGAGGCGCCTTTGCCTTCCAATTAACAGGACGTTTGTTTTAAACTATTTGGTTCTCTTTTGACTGTATAACGTCTCACCTGTCTGTCTTGCCTACATTCATGCCTTTAGAATAAATTTCACACACCATGGATGACCTGGAAAAGTTGGATCTTCTGCCACCTGTGAGCAAAATCCCCAATATGAACACGTCTACTTATCGAATGTATGCCGAGGGCGTCGCAAAGCACAGTGAGTCATGTGACCTCGCCAAGCTCCTGTCCATTACGAAAATGGAAGAGTGGTGTGCCTACCTGAACTGCAGCGTTTCAGGCTGCATTATTCCGCCCCACCCATCTGAGCTAGTGAGGCAAGTCATTAAACCAGTTTGCTTTTAATCTTTCCTTTATGCTTTTTCCCGTCTGACAAAACCTTCTGGTCCGGCCTTGGTGAAGTAGATGCGTGAGTTGCCAGCGCCCGTTTAATGCCATGTTTGTTTTCAACATTATGGCCAACGGTTGGTGTAAAGTCACAGTTTGTTGTAAAACACATAAAACACTGATGGAGAGCTTCAAGCATGCTTTTAAACCGAAAAATTATCCCAGTGCAATTGTAATATCGATTAGCATGGATTCTGAATTTTGTTTGAGCCTCTTTCCGCGTGCCTTTTTACATAGTGCTCGTTAAATATCACTGCTTAGATTGTGTTTTTTTCCCGTTGCTTTTCCTAATGGAGCAGTATTTACTATACTTATCTTTTGGGGGTTGCGTCTTCAATTTTCAAACTTGGGAAGAATTTGATTGTAATTTACGTGAGCAGTTTTATTTAGAGGACTTGAAATCATTCGAATGGATAGTCGTATAGCATAAAGTCCGCATATTTATTACTGATTCATGCAAGGTACACAGCGTATACGATATTTATGCCAATACTTCGTGAACAACAGACTCCTTCGTGCACACAGGAGGATTTACAAGAATTTGCTCTAAAGGATATACGTGACATGCAGTTCTGCGACCTTAAGAACAGGTGGGGACAGAGGAGGGGTCCCAAAATATGCGGTACCTGTAGGCATTTCTAGAACCCTACACAGAATAAATAGAATAAATGCATTGCTGCCTAGTCGTTGCAGGAAACGTATCTGAAACAATGCAACCATCACAAATAATTTACGTAGGAAAATCGAACGGTAGTTAACCAAAAACAAGCTCCCGACGTGTATTAATTACCGTAAGATTATGCTCAGGCTTAATCCATATCGTAACTTTTCTTGAGTAGACTTTTGAGTCCAAAAGCCTTGGGATTTTTTCATAATCTGAAGTGGGCTTACTGAAAAGCATAGCCTTAAAGAGAAAAAGAGCAGTACTGTCGGTCTGCGTACTCCCATCTCATTTGCATAAGTCATTGACTGCAAAAAAGCCTTTCATTTAACCTATCGGTTTTGAATCTCACCGGCGTCACCTAGATCATCGATGTTACATAGTCTGTAGAAATATTCAATTCTTCCCAACTCAGATGGTTAGACAGTCGGCCGCAATATAGCCTTGATTTTTATTTCTAGGATTCCAATCTTGCCAATCTCACCGAGGTTTTCTTATTTCGATAGTCAGTAAAATTAGTCATACATGTTGAGAGCCGACAAGTAAAGTAATTCAGGTTTACATTTGTTGGATTGTATTATAATCGCCGTGGAGAACCACCTTGCGTGTTCGGTCTACTGTATTAGCTTTGTTGAGTTGCGAACCCGGCAGTAGATCAGATGGATAACATTGCGCATAGTTCAATAAAAGTCACGTTTTCGGCCAGCGCCTCGTAGCTGATGTCACTAGGGCGCTGGCAGCATAAAGAGTTTGCAGTCCTTTCAAAGATTTGAATAAAGTCTGGGTCACCGATTATTTATTTTCATGTCTGCCAAAAGCCCTACTAAATTTACGACTGGTAGTCATCTAGTTTATGCTAGATAAACTGCGTAGAAAATCATACTTTTCCCCGATTTCTTTTCTTTTGGACAGTCAACTAACGTATCGGAAGCTGGCAGACTCCCCTATTAGTTTTGTCCTGGTTTTCGTTTGTTTGGTTCTAACTAATTTGCTTAGGAAAGTCTGCTGAATTTTTATTGGTAGAATTCGTGCATCTAAGTCATTTCGTCACATGAACTAGTCGATATGTCAATAATCTTAAGGCGTGCGTTAAGATCCCGTAGCTCAGGTGTTTGTGACCCTGTCCCCAATAAGACTTGACTTTTTATCCCAGCGCTTCGAATCCCGCCGATGTCGCTGACAGTTTCCTAGTTTGAAAACCAGTCAGTTTATACAGATCTGTCAAATAACCTTATATAATTTAAGCTTGATATCTATCTTCTTGAGTCTAGGTAAGCTACTTGGACAAATCTGCTTGTCAGTCAGCCCGCTGTGGTAGAATTGGTGGATTCCATTGTTCGCAGTAGACTGGATGGTTAAATTCATCCAAATCTAAAAATTACAAGGCTTTTGATTAGAGCCTTATAGCTCATGTGCACAGGACACTGTTCTAAAGCCTTGCCTTTGTTTTAATGTATCTTCATCCCGCGGAGATGAACAGATAGCCTCATCTGGGTAAGAGGTTAAAGTATTCATGTCTATCAAATGCATCACTTAAGAGGTAAGTCTGGTTGACATCTGTTGGACTCCATATCGATTGGATTCGGCATTGACTGCTCATCCAACAATCATTAGTTAAATGTGTGGATTAATAAGTTGCGGTATTTTGACTGCTAACTCGCTCAAACTCTGGAAAAAACTGATTTCTTCTCCCTTGGGGTCTTATAGTTCATGTTGTTCGAACACTAGCTTCACTAGATTCGTACATGTTCGAATCATTCCGAGGTCCTCCTTTTTCACAACTGTGCGATCAGTGCAAGTATACACATCTGCTTTACCCTCCTATTGAAATTGAGCATTGTGGTCGTCTGTTGAATTCCGGAATGGGTTCTTTAGGAAAGCCTACTCGAAGTGTTAACCTGCTATAGTGCAATCCATGCGCTCCACACGCTATAGTTGGTTATGCAGTGAACGCAGTCTCATATCCAAAAAATCAGCTCTTGTTTGGGACGTCGTAGTTCGGGCGTTAGGAACTCTGCCTGTATGAAGTTATTGCCTTTATTGTCGCCTTTTAGGACATTGTCGGGACAGCGTGTATTCCATAATTGCGTAGTTGGCAAAATTACTCGAGTCTATTAGATGCCAGATTGATTTCTTCGGAAAATCGTCATGGACAATTGACTAGGTTTGGTCCGGCATCCCAACTTAAGTGATACTACATGGTTAGCTTTATAAAACATTTCACTAGATGCGAGTGCGTTAACTTTACAAATATCATGTATTTGCACTTTCCCTACAATTTTAATCCAGCGAGTGACTGCGCCACGGGGGATGAGCGCCTATACGTCAGCCTCGGTTACTTCAGGTGTCAGTTCACACCCGCTTCAATGCGCGGCCTACTTGCGCCCTCTTTATTTTCTCGATCCAGCGGGTGGCCAGACAGACTTGCTAGTGGAATTGTTCGGAATTCCGTCGGTTCCACTACAGAGCCCATGCACTGCGAATTACCATGCGCCTCCCTCCGTGGGCTTCCAATTGTGAACGTGCACCCATTCTCCTCTCAGTCCAGCGTGTGACTGTGTCAGGGAGAGTGCGTACACGCCACCTTCACCCGGTTCTGTGTCAGTGGTGCGTATCTTGTACCGCACTGCCTGTCTTGTTCTTTCTCTCGCAGGCTTGAAGGACGCCGAGATCACAGAGTTGTTTGATTGTATCTTAACAGCTAACGTAAACCTACTTGAAATCTCAGCCCATTCTATTAGGATCTGTTGACTCGATGCTTTAATCAATATCTCGCTTCCAATACTTCGGCCATTCCTTCAAAATGCTGATCGATGTTCTGCATTTAACATCTTGATACTTGTGAGCCGACCAGTTTCTCCGAAACGTCAAAATCGCAATAAATCCGTCCCGGTGAACTCTGACCCTTTTCAAATTATTACCCTGAACTCCTCACCTTTTCCAACCTAAGCTGATCCTATTCACACTGTCGTATCGACTTAGGATCTATCCAGAATTCATATTACTCCAGCTCAAACAAGCTTTTCGACATTCAGGCAGTACTGCGCTTGATTTAAAATTGGGATCGCCGTTTTTGTTCGTGGTGACGACAAGCAAAAGTTAAAAAGGAGCTTTATAAACTTTCTCTCACCTTTCAGGACTCGTTATTCTTTTCATTGTCCACACGACTTGTGCCGGACCTAGGAAAATTCAGTCTATCCGAGCTTTTCCTCCATTTTCAAAATTTCGGACTTTTTAAAATTCAGGTTTTTTGTCTGAATGTTTGCAGTTCTGTTTACTTTGAAGAAGGTTAAGACGGCACGAATGACCATTTCTGGCTTATCTACAGTCGTCAGTTCGTCATAAGCCAGCGCTAAGCTGCGAGAAGCTGAACTCGAACACAGTCTCTTCGGTGAATGTGCTATATGTCGAACACTGCCACTGAGCAACAGGCTCTCCATCCTGTCGGCTACGACTATTACTATTAAATTTTATGGGAACTTTGAACCCCAGTGAGAAGCCATCGTCCGTGTTTCAACCCGTACTAAGAATATATAAATGTTACCCACTACCATGTAAAATCACATGCCGTCTTACCTTTTCCATTCTAGCACTACAACCTCACTTCTGCCGCTTTCTGCGCTGTCCAGCAATGCATCTTTCGGAAATGTTTCCCCAAAATGTTATGACGACTACAACTGCGACCCTCCTGGCCATGCATACCTCTTCTACGTCATTTTTGGCATCGTTTTTACTGTCGTCTGCTCGGCCAGCCTTCTCTCGAACTTGGCCTGCGTGGTGGCCTTCAACAAAGCCTCTAATCGCACTGGCGCCACGCTCTACTTCTCTGCGATCGCACTCGCTGACTGTGTCCATCTAAGCATCCTCTTATTGCTGCATGTGCCACGTTTCCTATATCAGACGTACGCTGAACAGATTGAGGCCTATGCGAAAACCACTGTTCGCTACGTACCCAAGGCACTTCCCTTTCTCACCTTCAGCGAGCTCGCTTCGGTGCGTGTTTGTTATATGTCGTCTGTTCGAAATTGAACTCATCTATCAGTCTGCTTCTCCAGCCACTTATTATGATACCTGACCCTGAAAAAGTCCAAATATTTCCCACCTAACTCTTCAAATTTTTCATAATAACCCATAAAGCCTTTTAATGTTTTAGGGAACTTTAGTGATGGCCAAGGTAGGAAAGACACTGTGTGTAACATCAGAAAATTTGCAGTTTTCAGCCTCGGCCTAGTATCCTCGCCGATGTCGTATACAAAAAGCTAACAGTCATCGTTTTTCACCTCGTCTTAAGGTATTCAGTTTTCATCTAAACTCAGAGTGGCACGACAGTTTGACTGTCGACTCTGATGAGGTCAGCCGCGTGCCCAACATCAATGTGGGCGCAGGGACGGTGACTTGTGCGCGAATTGGCTTATTGTAGCGGTAGACTTGCAAGTATCGGCCGCACACTTTCCTGTCTCACCCGCCTGAGCTCGGTGTCGTGACCGGGTCAAGAAGACCGGATGCAGGTGAGAGCCCAGGCAGCTGGTGCGGCGGGAACCTGCACCCAAACGTGCCTCCACACCGGCTTGGATCTTACTGAATGGGAGTGCCATAGAGATCGCATTAAGAAGGAGCCAATGCAGCCTGATTCTCAGTCACCAGTCGGCCACTCCACACAAACACACAGGGTTGACTTCGAGGTCTGAGTTATCCCGTCAGGCGGCTTTTAGCGCGCTGTGATAGATTCAAGCGCGTCAAATTTTTTTATGGCGAGGAATATGCGCTGACACAGTCGACCTCACTTTCTCTTCCCACTTGCGTGGCACCAGACAACTGTCCAAGGTCACTTGTCTGGTGCGGGGATTGAGCGCAGTGGGTGACAAAGCTAGAGAACTTGTCTGTGTGTGTTGCATACCCGACCCGATCCCCACGCTAAACACACCAAGATTTCGCACAAGGGGATAAACTATCCACTTAGCCCTATTGCTACACTTCTAGTAAACGCACGACTGTAGTAGTATTAGTAGCAGCAGTAGTAGTATCAACAGTGTTAATGCGATACATACTCTCCGTTTTCTCGGTTTCTATTTCTCAAACTTGCATCTTGTTTGGGTTTTGCTGAACAAATTTTGCGTTTGACCATTACCTTGTTTGCAGGTGTTGTAGTTTTACTTAGCCATGCTTTTGTTTGCCAACAGATTATAGTTCTTGGACAAAGTAACGATAGCCTAGGTGTTCGAACATAAAATCTCTATATTCTTCGCACGCAGTAGCTTCGAGTAAGAATCTCCTCAGGAACTTTCGGTGAAAAATTATCACTAAGCATGTAGTTTTCTACTGATCTTCAATGCCCATGTATGGCAATTTGTGCACTACAATGAGGAATCGAATATGTATTTGTGGTATTATTTTGGTATTGAGTGCTGCCATACTGGGGCTCAGTAGTGTAATATGATGAATATGCCAGTCTGCTAGGACTGAAATTTGATTTACCGTATGAAATAAGACCCTCATATTTTGCAAACTTGAGGTTTAACAAAACAATACGTGATTTCGTTGAAAAAAACTAGGCAACTATTTGTCTGCGAATAATCAGCGGCGGTTGACGAATTTCAGCTCAGATATTCCTATCAAATTCCAGGCCGAGTCCGAATGATTTGTTTCAAGTCCGTGCATTAATTTCGGTAGGAACTAAAAACTCAATACCCTGAAGTGCAGTTCTTCTCAATCATAACATGTTGCATAAAGACCTGGCTGAAAAATCATAAAGCGGAGACCGAAATCTTCAAACGGGTCTTAAGATCTAAAAGGTTACGAAGATAAGCCTGAATCGATTTCTGACTGTTACGAAACTGAATTCGTTTGGGAATGTTCGCAGTGATAGCCAACACCTTAGGGAGGAATCACAACTGCACCTTCGTCTTCTTTGGAGCTTATGAAAAGCAGTTGAATGTTCTAGGGTAGGTGCACCTAACTGTCATTTCAGTATTTCTTCGATAAGATATCTCTTTGAATGGGAGAAACATTTTTGTTGTAAACAGTTTTACAAAATAGTACGTTTTGTGGTTTCCGATCGAATATTGCCCCAGGCTTTTATTTTTTAGTTTACGTACCGACTGCAACGTGATGGGAATCTCGTCCAATAGCTCATGAGCGGCATTTGGTATCTTTACAAGGCCATGAAAAAAAGACATGCTTTTCAATGAAAATACATACCATGTACTTTAGAAACTTCAGGAACAAATGAAAACTCCATTTCGTATCGGCTAAACATTACCAAGTGCGTTGTGCCAAAATATTACTTCGAGGAGTGGTACTGACAAATATGGGGACCGTCACATGACTATTTATGGACATCGGCAACTAGTGAAAGCTCCACCTCAGGTACTGTCGCGACCGATCCTTGAAACTGTCTTTCATTTAGCAGGCATGATTGATATTGCACGTCACTCCCCGCCCGTTCGTGCTGTCTCAAATACCGACTTATAAGAAGACGTCGTTCGTCGCAGTTCTATTTCAAAAAAATGCAACAGAGTTTATGCATACATAAGAAAGTCATGGAAAGGCACACTACTGTGGCCGTTTGACTGAAGGATTCTCAGTCAAAAATCAGCATGTCGCTGTGTGCGGATTCAGTAAGGATTGTCTAGCCGCAAGTATTCCAACTTCGCTCACGCAATACTTGCCGTTTAACTGAATGTCTAGATACTACTATTAGTTTGTCATAAACTGCAACGCCCACTGTCGGTGAATCAACTTAATGGCCTTTCCTGACTACACTTCCGTAGTGTTGTCTCAGCTGCAGGCCGTTCTCGATTTACAAATTTACTTTAACTAGCAACGATAAGTGGCAAACATTCACCGCGTCTGTCTGTTTTAAATGGCATCCGGTGGAACTAGGCCTTCTGCCTGCCCAACCTCCCAGCTACTGAAAGATCACTTCCTTTGCATGTGGCAGGAGGAAATAAGGGATTCGGTCTTTAATACTTCTGATGCGGGTGAAGTAAGGGCATTTTTCACCAGAGGTCACTGTGTAAGCCCGGATACTACGCTTTCTTTAACTTTGTCCTGTTAATTAACATCATCTGATCAAACAGCAGCAGTCCGGGATTTTGCTCCGATTACTCTTCTAAAGTACAGAGGCAGAGTCCTAAGCACACCTGTGACTCCGACAAATGTCGTTTTATGCAGTAATTTGAGCTGTTATCTCAAGTCTGGGTTGCTGATTCCTTCGAATAGAGTATTTTCTTAGTCAGGAATTAGTGTTCCTCAAAACGGCTACGATAAACGAGACGTAATTCTCTTGAGGGTAGGTGAGAAATTACATAGTACTTTATTTTTAATCGATTAGCTATGTGACTGGGAGGTTTGTCGGTCTGGAGCCTACACGATCTCACGCCATGTTCATCAGTAATTAAACTAAACTAAGTAATTTTTCACATTGCATAGTTTACCATAATGGCAACATAGGTACTGACTGAAAGCCTAGGCACATATTTTCCGATAGGCTGCGGCTGCATGACACGGCTGTGAGGGGTCCGGCACATCAGTGAGTCCCCAACGTCTCCAATGTCCTTTTCGGGGACAGATTCCGTGTTTCTGCGTATATTTTGCATTAATTTGAGATCGTTTTTTAAAGCCTTGCTTATTTCTGTTATTTTCCAACCTGTTTACACGATAGAGGAGGCCTTCCTAAGGCAAATAACGTTGTTCTCTGTTCTGACCCCCCTAAACCCATGTTTGTAGGTCTGGCTCACACTGTGCGTCCTCGCGGATCGCTATACCTACCTGCGGCTGGGTTTCTTTTCCCGCTCCGTTACTTCCAGCACATTGCACTTGCGCGTGGCAGCTGTTGTTCTAGTGCTAACCTTCTGTTACACCATTCCAAAATTCTTTGAATTTGAGCTGCAACCGGTGCATGATAATTTGGGCGGTTATCGTGCAGTACTCACTTCAGTGGGAAAATCAGGTCCCTTCAGGTGAGTTTTTCGCTTTTCTTGCTTGCTGACCAGTATAACAGTGCCATGAGGGCAGACCACGGTACAGTTCTACACATTATGCTCGCCATCGTGAGACAAAAGCTACTGTTCAGTCAGTTTTCCAGTAAGCCAGAGAGGTTGTTATCAAGCCCCAGGGTTGACCGTCACAAAGAGACGGTTAGCACGAGCTTGTCATCTTCGTTAAAATGCTGCTAGGTTCAGGCAGACGGTCACTTACTGGCAGATTTCCTATTCTTGCCTACGCCTTCACTCTTTTCCTAAAATTGGTCTTCGGCATCTGCAGACGTAAATTTGGAGTTCGAG